AATTCCAAAAACTTCCAAGAACGTAAGTTCTATAGCCTTGACAAGATCAAAGTAACAACGTCTGACAACATTTTGAAATTAACTCGGTCAACTGTTTGAACTAATGACGGTAATTAAATCCTAAAGCTCAAGAATGCGATGGTTTGTTACGTTATCATAAAGTCATGAAGTACTAGAGAAAAGATCCTCTTATATATGTATCACCATTTTTTAACTTTAATTTCGCAGCTTTCATATTGTTTCTTTCTCCTTCTTTCCATGAATTTATTTTTCCATAAGTCGCGCGCGAAATTATTTAGCTTGTGGACTCAAGTGATTATATTATCGCTTAACTCCTAGAAACACTTGATTCCAGAAGCAACACGACGCGTAAAACAGAAAGTTCAGCTTTTACAGAATAATACAGAAATATCTAATTAAATGAACTTATTTGCTTATGGTTTTACTCGTCTTTGAGTTTACTTGCATATATATATATATATATCTTTGACTTTGTTTGAGAAGAGAGTCAGTAGTCGAAACACTTGAAGCAAATCGATAAGAAATTAATCAGTCGTGTAATTTACAAGGCATTTAACTTTATAGCACAAACTTATCAGAAAATAAATTAAGAAAATTATTATAGTCGAACCAACTGGTAATATATTCCACTTTCAGAGAAGAATTGTGCAGGTTTCAAGTGTGCCATCGGGTATATGACTTGCTTCCTTATATATTTTCCGTATTTTGTTGACTTGCGATATCTCATTAAATACATCTCGTTAAATATTCTAGTCCATTTGCATATTATATTCATGTTATGTATACATCAACCTGATTCATTAAAATAATTTTGTAGATCGGAGCAGTTATCACTGCGTAAAGTGAGTGGGAAAGCAAAGTTTGTTGGGACGATTATATGTGTCACGGGAGCGATGATAGTAACTTTTTACAAAGGTGGCCACGTCCCAATGTGGTCTTCTAAGATCCATTTGCTGCATCATACAACTGCAGCAGGATCACAGAAGAAGTTAGAATCTGGTAACTTCTCCCTGGGTATAATACTTGCCATGATATCTTGCCTCTGCTACGCGCTTTGGATGGTATTACTGGTAAAAAACCTCAAAATCTAGTAGCCTCTTCTTTTATTACTCTTTGCAAGTTGAAAATGTTATTTTATGACTATAGTTTGAATTATTTCTAATCCTGTCTGTTTTACATTGTGTGCTTATATTAGTTCTATTGTCTCCTCCAAACCCCTTTTCATAGGAAAAAGTAGGAAAAGACTATCCATGCCATTACACTAGCGCTGCTTGGATGAGCCTTATGGGCTCAATTCAGTCAACCATATTTGCGTTTTGTTTTGATCACGAAGGTAATCAGTGGAAGCTTGGTTGGTCCCTAAGGCTCTTCGTCGTTCTCTATATGGTAAGTAATACTCCACCCTTGTACCGAAACCAAATAAGGAAATATTAAGCCCTCGTTATAATTTTACAATTTGATTACACTTCCAAAAATAAATCCAATTAGGGATCATATACCTTAATAACTTGAGTTAATAGTTGTATTCAACTAACTTTTATTCTAATGGACGCTGTTTTATTATATTATCATAATTAATATTATTACGTCTTCAAAATTGTGATTTCTTAAAAAAAAAAGCAGGCTTATGACATTATTTAATAAGAAAAGAATAAACTGTTGCACCCAAATTTACATAAATTTGTATATATGAACTATAAGTGCTAGTTGTTAAATGATAAAAGTTTACATTAACTTGCATAATTGTAAATAATTGCAATTACTGCATTGGGCTTTTGTATATGAATGTCGTGCTAATTATAATACCTTTGTTATGCAGGGAGCTTTAGGGTCTGGGCTTGTTGTTATTTTAATGACATGGTGCTCCCAAAAAATGGGCCCATTGTTTGTATCAGTTTTCAACCCTGTGACACTTATATTTGTGGTATTTGCAAGTGCAATGTTGCTTCATGAGACGCTATATGTTGGAAGGTATAACAAAACTTTCTTCTTTTTACTAAACTAAAACCTTCAATCTATTTGAGGTGTGTGTATATATTTTTTGAATGTGTTTACAGCAACACAAAATCATTTTTGTTCATAAGAAATTACCTTTATATATTAATTGTAGTTACATTGCCCTTCTGGTTTAGTAAATTGTATCTAAATATCATTAACAAAGTCCAATGATCAATTGACACGAATTCTGATATATCTTTCTTGGATTTACTTGTTATGTGCAGTGTTTTAGGTGGTGGTATAATAGTAGCGGGATTATATCTTGTGCTGTGGGTTAAAGAAAAAGAGCAGAGGGCATCGAAGCAGTCAATCCCCGAAGTAGCCAAACATGATATCGAAGGAAACTAATTAACCAAACATAGAAATAATTAAAATTCTCGATTAGTGAACCTATCTTTTTTACTTCGTTCAAGTACTTTCTTTTAATCGTGATAATATAGATCTCTTTCTTTCACTCAATGATTGAAAATTATATTGCTTGTTTCGATAGCAAGTACACAGTCGTTATCTATTATAGTTGTTACATTAAGTATGCTATTAATATATAGTTTTTCCTTAGTTTCAAGGTTATATTGTCAAAATTAATTTTACTGGTGTTAGTTTCATCTAAACATCTAACGTTCGAGACGTTTTGCTCCTTTTTGTTAAAAGTAATCTTCTGTATTTTGGTTAAGTCATGTTTTAAAAGACATCGGAATATGAATCAAAGTATTTATGATGCTCAACTGTTGGAATTTTGTTTAAATAAATTAAGATGTTTACTAAATTAAGGGGTTTTTCTGATGCTTAATAATAAGTAGTTTAAACGACAATTATGATGCTTAATAATAAGTAGTTTAAATGAAAAGGTGTCTACTAAATTAAGGGTTTTTTCCTTTCAGAATTTGGTTACCACAAGTTCTATTTAAATCCAACTTCTTAACATCTTGACTTTTAAAAATCATGCAGAAGTTTTCCTCCATTTATTCGTCAAACTAATTTCATGTCCAAAAGATCAAGTTGAAAATTCTTGCTTTCCAAGATGAATTTCTTCACTATTTGCTTAGTGCAGAAATTTAAAGGCATGCCATATTCACTAAACCTATTTGCCTATAATCCTAAAGCAATCTCGCGAAGAAGAGAGCAAACCACCTTTAAAAAAGTGCTTCGTGCTTGTTTCAAGCCTTCGATTTTATGTTCTCTGTTCATGAGCTTCAAGCCCAAATCTATTACAGTATGTTTTTCATATTTTTCTCAACAATCTAAAAACGATGTTTATGTTATGGAGAAGTTCGCTGCCATGGAGATTTGAATAGAAAAGATTCCTGATTAAAGAGGAAAAAGGAAAACTTTTTTGTTTCAGTACCTGCAATGGAAGTTTGATTTCAATTGGAGATCTGACCGTTCACGTCATTTTTGGAACGTCATTACAAGCGGATTTCTGGTTGTTGCCTGTTGCAATTAACTTCATTGCGCTTAACAGAGCTTACTTCATGTGTTGGAATGTTTGGACATAAATTGAAGAAAAGTTGCATAAAATGGTACCTCAAAGCTACAAAATAAAGCAATAAAAGAAAACGTGCAAGGCAACGAAACAACAATACCGTATACAGTGCAAGGCATCGTCTAGGGCACTGCCATTGGCGCCCCAGACAGGGCCTTGCGCCGAAACAACAGTGCCATAGACAGTGCAAGGCATCGTCCAGGGCACTGTCCTTGGTGCCCTAGACAGTGCCTTGCGTCGAAACGACAGTGCCACAAACAGTGCAAGGCGCCCACGATACCATCCGAGCAAATGTTAATTCCTCATTAGTCTTGGACATGTAGAATTCGGCCCCCTATCCTATAAATACCCCTTAAAGTTAGTTTTGAAAGGTTAGATATTATTAGAGAGACAAGAGACTACGGAATACTTTGGTATCACGAATCACTTTTCTCTCCGCTTTCCTTTTATTTGTAGTTGAATGCTTCTAGATATTACTATGATTACTTACACAATTATGAGTAGCTAAACCCATCATCTAGGATTAATGGAACCAATTATTGGATGAAGTCTTGATTGTGTTTTGATATAATTGAGCCGTTATTACTCCTTAATTGTTCAACTATATGTTTCTTTGTGATTAATTGAAGGGCCCTTGATTAATCATATCTAGTTATCTTGTGTTGCTTGAGAAAGAACACGTGATTAGATTATTGTTGAACAATGCCAGTTTCGAGTAAGTTAAGAGATTAATTAGTTGAATTTAAAAGTGGGATTGGGGATAACGAGGCTTTGTCGCGATATTTATGAGTTGTACGAATTGTAAACTAGAGTAGTTCGAGAGAATACTTCTAGTAAATTATCGTAATTGATCAAGAGATAATTGCGGTAAACAAGAACTCATCATTTTTAGAGAGTGTTACAGCGATATTATAGCTGACGTGTCAGGAATTAATCCAACAATTGGGGAAATCGTAAACCCTAGATCCTTTTATTCTTGAATTCAACTTCATTTTTGCTCATTGATAATTTTTATTGTCATTTCTCCTTAGTTGAATATTTTCTGTTAATTCTCAAATCAAATTTTGAATTCTGAAAGTTGTCTGAGCTTATCATTAGCGATACTAAAAATTTGTAGCAAATAGGTTAGTCCCATATAGGATTCGACTCCGGACTCTTGAACCAGGTTATTTTTGCAGCGCTCGCTTAGCCCTTTTTATAAGGCATAGTTTGGCGTGATCAAATTTTGGCGTAGTTGCCGGGGAACTGACAGTGTTATTCGTTACAACTTGAAAGAATTGCTAGAATTTTTAGTTTATATCAATTTTCTGTGGTGCTAAAAATATTTTCATTGAAATTCTCTTGTTTGAACTCTTCTGTACCTCAGGTGCATGCCTAGAAGCTCCTTGAGAATTGGTGCACTCTTTGAAGGACTCTATATCCCGAGAAAGCATTCAACACATTGAATCGGGATAACAAGAAGGGCAAACAACTAAAACAAAATGAACAACTCGAAATTGAAATGGGTGGCGTCGACAATGTCAACGGGAAAAATATAAATAATCAAATTAACCCAAACATCGGAGTGGTAGCATCTCTTGTGCCGAAAGCTGCTCTATATGATTGGGCACAACTAACTGCTGACAATCTGGCAACTGCAATTGCAGTCCCTCCGATACAAGTGGAAACTTTTCAAATTGCAAACAACATGTTGCATTTGCTACAGAATAAAAGGGTTGTTCTCCAGGTCGTACATCGAAGGCCCACAACAACATCTAAAGGATTTTCTATCATTTTGTGTCACTCAAAGACAACCGAATATGACACCCGAAGCAATTAGATTGTTACTGTCTCCATTCTCAGTGACTGGGGAGGCTCAAACTTGGCTGAATATGCTCCCAATAAACTCCATTGCTACATGGGATGAACTAGTCAAGCAGTTCTTAAACAAGTTCTATCCACCTGAAACTTATCAAGAAACCTGGGAGAGGTTTAAGGGTATGCTGGTGAAGCGTCCACACCTTGGAATCTCCGATCAGATGCTAGGACATAAATTCTATATGGGTTTGGTTGACAGTCTGAAGGCCAATGTAGATGCTTCAGCTGGGGGTGCATTCTTGAGCAAATTATTCATAGAGTGTAAGATTCTTCTTGACAAGATAGCTCAAAATTCAGGCTGGATGACGAGGGATACAACACCCACTCCAATGGTGCATTATGTTTCCCTTAACCCAAACAATAGAAATATAGATAACATAGCCACTCTCATGATCTAGATGAGCTTGTTGACAAAGAAAATTGATGAGATAGACACGAAACAAGTTCATATTGTTAACACAACAATGAAGGCCTATGCACTCCCTGCATCAATCATTCGTATGTTTGCTCGTGGAGTGGAGAGAATGATAACCAGGGCTTCAGAGAAGACATGAAGTACGTAAATAATTTTGGGGGTCAGAGGCAAGGTGGACAACAACGGGGACCTCAGAATCGACAATACATACCAACCTAATAATAGTACAACACTAATCCTGGAGGTGCACGACCATAAGGCCAAGTTGTACCCTATCAAAGGCAGCAGGGTTACAACCAGCAGCACCAACAATAGTTGGCTTACCAACAACTTCAGCAACAATATGTGACCAGATATGACGACAGTAATATGATAGAAATCAAGGGCATGCTGCAACAAATCATTTGGACAAATGGAAGAATGCAAGCAAAGTTAGCTGCACATGACTCGGCTATTAAAGGCATTGAAACTTAGTTAGGCCAGTTGTACATGGATTTGAACAATCGCTCACAAGGAATGTTGCCTGCATTCACAAACATCAATCTAAAAGAGCAGAACCTGAATCATTTAATGGAAGTGAGTCTCAGGGATGGAAGGGATTTGGGTAGAGAGCAAGTAGTTGCTCAATCTAATAGAGACGATGTGCCACTTACTCCAGTGCCATTCGAGATCGATGAGTTAACAGAGCTCACAGAGGTTTTAATTGAACAAGCACAAGTTCACAAAGGCAAAGAGAAGGAAATTGAACCGCTCCCAGAATAGGTAGTGGAAAAGACTTCTAATAAGGAAAGACACAGAGCAGTGGGCAGAAGCTAATTCCAGCACCATTCCCTCAAAGGTTGGCAAAGAAAAATAAAGATGATCAATACAGTAAATTCATGGAAATGCTCAGACAAATTCAATTGAATATTTCGCTGATGGATGCTTTGAGGGAAATGCCAGGCTATGCGAAAATGATGAAGGATTTGATGTCTCGAAAGTTTGACTTCCAGGACCTGTCTACTATAACTCTGACTCAAAGTTGTAGTGGGGTATTGACAAGACATTTGGCTCAAAAGTGTTTGATCCTGGTAGTTTCTCTATCCCATGTACTATTGGAAGTTATGATTTTGCTAAAGCATTGTGCGACTTGGGAGCCAATATTAACTTGATGCCCTTGGCAATCTACACAAAGCTAGGCATTGACAGAGCTAGACCAACCTCAATGTTGCTGCAACTGGTTGATCGTGCAGTGAAAAGGCCAACAGGAATCCTGGGTGATGTGCTAATCCAAGTGGGGAAGTTTGTATTTCTTGTTGATTTTGTGATTTTTGACTGCTAGATTAATGAAGAAATACCCGTAATTTTTGAAAGGTTGTTTATAGCCACTTGGAGAGTATTGATTGGCTATGAGATTGGAGAATTAAAAATAAGGATGAATAATGAAGAAATAATATTCAATGTTCAATAGTCTATGAGGAGACCCAGCGAATTCGCAAATTGTTTGCTAGTGGAGGTAGTTGATGTGATATTACAAGAGGAGGATGCAACTCTTAATGTTAGAGACCCATTAAAAGCTTGCTTGATGAATTTGGAAAATGTTATGGTGAATAGTTTGCAGAGTGGGTTATGGCTCTCAAAGGTCAAGGGTTTTGGAAAAGGGAACCCCAGCTCGAGCTACTACAGAAGAAAGAGAAACACTGCCTGCGAAACCGTCAATAGAGGAGCCACCAGAGATTCATTGATTCACCCAGTGAATATAAGTGCTCTAATTTCGAGGGTTTCGACCATTTTTGCATATTTGGAGCTATGGAGCTCGGATTGAGATAATTTTTGAAGAGTTCCACCTTATGGATTGGGGTAAATGTTTTCTTTATCTTCGTTTTTGGTAATTGGATTGTGAATTTTAAAGAGAGAATTTGGGGGTTTTGTTCCAAAGGTTCATAGAGTGAATTTTTGAGTTTTTAACATCGATTTGGAGTCGTATTTGAGTGAAACTAGTATGGTTGAACTCATAATTGAATGAGTTGTTAGATTTTTTGAGTTTTGTCGGGTTTTGAGGTGCAGGACGGGTTTGACTTTTTGGTTGACTTTGGGCTTTTGATTAAGATTCGACCTTTATCGATTGGGTTTGTTCATTTGGCATTATTTGATGTTCTTGAGTTGTTTCTGGCTAGTTTCGAGTCGTTAAGAGGTCCGTATGCGCGAGATGGAATTTTTTGAGTATTGTTTGGCTTGCTCGGTATTGGATTTGGCTTGTTCAAGATAAGTAACACTTCTAAACTTGGTGGCGAGGGCATGAACCCCTAAATATACATGACTTTTGTTTGGTGTTGAGGTGATGCACATGCTAGATGACGGGTGTGTGGGCGTGCACTGTGGTGAACTTTCACTCGGTTGTTTTTATGGCACTGTGTAGTTACTGAATCTTGTCTTTTTCCATGAGATTTCTACGTGTTAGAGTAATTGAGTTGTGATCTATATTAGAAACCATCTTTAGGCAATATGCTTATTCTATTGGGACCCACTGAGGTCATATCTGCTGTGGAGTTGTTTGCTTAAATTGCAGTTACATATTCAGTCATACTCATTCATTTGCATATTATATCTCAGTCTCTGTTGTTATTTATGGATACATCATATCATCAATTTTGGGATGATTTTCATGACATTGTGATCCCGAGAGACTGGAGAGATTGATGACTGAGTGAGACCGAGGGCCTGTTTGTGAGTGATATTTATGGGATCGGGTTGCACGCTGCAACAAGCTTTATTGATTCATGCCATGATTAGCTTATTATAGCGCTTAGGCTGGATCTGCCCCTCCGGAGTCTGCACACCCACAGTGAGCGGGGTTGTTATTGATTCATGATAGGATCGGGCTGCGCGCCACAGCAGGATTTATTAGGGTTTGTGCTGGATCTGTCCTGTACAGAGCTGAGTCACTGAGTGTGCTGAGTGATTGAGCATGATGAGCAAAAGTATGAGACTGTGATATTGAGTACTCTGAGAGTGTGAGTACATGAGTTCATCATTGTGATGCATTGCATATGACATGCATACTTGACATACAAGCATAGATATGCATTTCCTCATGTTACATGGTTTTGTTATATTTATGACTTCACATGCACATTGACATGTAGGCATATAGATGTACTTTCCTCATGTTATCTGATAATGAAGCATCTTACTTATTGTTGAACGTTTTTAGGAAAAATCACAATTTTTCTGACTTACTCATATTTTGGTAATTTCGATGATGGAATTGGGCTTTACTGTTATACTTGAAAAGCATGACTATTTTTCGTAATTGTGAACTAGCTGAGTCACATCTCAGAGTTATTTCTTGTACCACTTTTATTATATTGTTATGAGCTATTATTGGCTAATAGTGTTGGACTTTGACCACTATCACAACTCGACACTATTTTCAGCCTAAGGTTAGGTTTGTTACTTATTTAGTACATGGGTCGATTGTACTCATACTACACTTCTGCACCTTCTATGAAGATTTGGATGCTAATATTGCTATGTATGGCGGGGGCTGGCATTGAAGATGTACCTGTTCTGGTCATATTTTAGAATTTTTAATCAATTCATGTATATTTCAAACAGATGATTTATTTATTTCATTCAAGCTTTGCAAACTCTAAATCTTAGAAGCTCATGATTTGTACTACCAGTCCTTGGGAATTTTTTGTATAGAAGTTCAGTTATATTATCATAACATTTCTTAGTAAATCTCATAATGAATTGGATTATTATTGCTAATTAGCTTACCTAGTGGTTTGGGTTAGGTACATCACGGCTATTTGGATTTTGGGTCGTGACAAAGTTGGTATCAGAGCTCTAGGTTCATAGGTTCTACGATTCATGCGCAAGTGTCTAGTAGAATCTTGAAGATAGGTATGATGATGTTCGTACCTACCATCGAGAGGCTACATGGCATTTAGGATAAACTTCCCATCTTTCTTTCCTTATCGTGCGACATTGATTCAACTTGAAGTGTAACTCTTTGAATTTCTTCCACTCACTCATATGCGTATATGAGCGCTCGGTATCAACTATGCATCGACAACTTGTGATTCTATGGATGAGGTGTGAGATGTGACTTCTGTGTGCTAATGATAGGCCAGTCTGGAGGACTTGAGGCCGAGTTTTGACTGTAGCTTGAGCACAAGGATTTCGACTATGTGAGCACATGGTGTTGGACTTCTATGTCATGTGGTGTACCTATGAGTGGGACTGGTGGCCCGGTGAGTGGTTGGATGACTATATGATGAGTATGATGTGTTCACATAGTTTGAATGTGACAAGGAGAGTTTACTTGAGATGTAAAAGGACTATTAGGTGGTTGATTTTTGTCTTGATGTGATGTACACTCTCGAGTTATGAGTGTATTAAAGGATCTTTCATGATGTTTAATTGTGGAACGAATTAGATTCTCATGTCATGTTGATGAGTTCAAAATCAGGAAGATTAAGTGATTGCGTAGTAGTTGTGGTTGTAAAAGGGAATATAGAGATGTCACTTTGATGCAAAATAGGTGGGTTACCATCTGAGAGGTAATTTATAGATGTGTGATCCTTATGATGTTGTGTGGAGCTTCTTTTCTACCAGTGGGTATATGTATTGCGATTTGAGTTTGGATTGGTTGAGAAAGTTGACCTGTCCACCACGAGGATGAATGCGAGCTTAGCAGATGATTTGAGGTATTATGTGATTTGCGTTACATGAGTTTTTGAAGGATTTAGTTGAATCTCACTATGGTATTATGGCAGTAATGGGGTATGGTTATTGTAAGTTATCAGATGTTTTATTCCATCGCTTTGAGCCAAGTGGGGAGCCTGCTATTGACGAGTTGATTACATGGTTATGTGTTGTATTGGTTTCGGTCTGAGGCATACTTGTGGATCGGTTATGACTTGCAGATCTTTGTTTGGAGGATGACTTAATATGCAACGAAATTTCTGGATGCATGATGTATTACGCTTTATGGGTATATAGGAATAATGGAATGATTGAGTTGTTATTCGCGAAGGATGTAGTGCGCATAGAGTAGGAATTTGATCGGTTGCTTAGAGGTATGGATTACTTCTTTGGGTGTCGTCGTGCTAATGGGGCACAGATCGTTCGACCCGTATGGGTGGTGCAATAGAGATTTGAGCAGAGTGGATTACTCTCGAGAAGGTTCTAATGGATTCAGGAGTTATATGTAGCAATTAGGAATTTTTAGGACTTGCATATGGCTGGAATTTGAGATTTACATTGGATGGTGTCGGGACTTGCGATATTTCTGTATCACGATGGATTCTACATTTCAGTATCATAAAGGTAAAAGAAACAACTTTAAATTGATAGAGGGTCTCTTCAGAGTGTGTGTCTTGGTTGTTGTACTTTTGGGGTGCTTATGAGGGGATACAGTAGCTTATGGGCCTCATAATGCTTATATTTCTCTACCGAAATTGTAAATATTGATAATTTTCACTAACTGGGTACCACGTACCCTTCTTCACCTTGCTTCTTTTACTTGTTGAAAGTTGTTTCTACATTCTGATTCTCTTATTACTTTTTACCATATAGGTGGATAGATATTCATGCCTTAGGGTTCTTTATCAAGAATCTTACACGTCTTAATACACATATGATCTGCTGAATACCTTACATTTACTTACCGTAAACATGAGGGAAACTCGAGTTCTTCTGACTTAACTCTTTTACAGCCACATTCAATCTCTTACCAACTGTCTTTCTAGATGTATGTTTCGTTGTATTACGAATAAAATAAAAGTTAGGAGTTTGAATCTTACAATTGAGCGCTACCACACGATCTAGAGTAATAAGAAAGAGTGAAAGTCCTAAATGCCCTACAGGCTCCTACTTATAAGTGTAGTGCACAACACACCCATAAACAAAACTCTACTAGACACAACTTGTAGACTCTTTAGAATGGAACTACTTTGATACAGAGTTTGTCATGCCCCAAACCTGGAAGAGGCGTGGCCGGCACCCGGTGCCATACTCGGCCCGAGCATACCTCTCTGTAACTGTGAAGTTTGTAGGGGTAACACTCAACTTAGGCTGATGAAAACATATTCTGAATAATCTGAAAATAACTCTACAACCAACAATACCAAACTAAACATCTACATAGGGCTAGTAAAGCCACAATATTGATATAAAAAACATATAGGACTCGTCTACAAGCCTCTAGGGATGACTGAACTGTATCATGGTTGGGATAGGGCCTCGACCTACCCATCAAACCTGTATATATAAAATGGACTCCAAGGTATAAATCTGGTAACTCTGAGGAAGTGGAGCTTACTAACTAAGGTGATGTTTGACTTTGTCTACTCAGAAGGTCTGTCCAACTGTCTATTAGGACCTGCAACCATAAAATGCAGTGTCCCCAACAAAAGGGACATCAATACGAAATAATGTATCGAGTATGTAAGGCAACAAAATAACTGAAAACTGAAACTGAACTGATAATATAACAACTGAATGTACCTGGGAGTTGAATATTATTGAAGATATGCTTACCTCCTGATACTGACTCATCTCTCTCAATATAGTAATTAAAATAGATGTCCGGCCCTAAGGCTCGATATGTGTAACTGCTCTGCCTTAGTATGCTCGCACATAGGCACTCGGTCATACTAGGCTCTGTGTCTCGGCCATTCTGGGCTTACTCATAGGCGCTCGGCCACAATAGGCTCGGTATATAACTTTCCATCTTATGTAAGATTGCTTAATAGGGGCCTGCTAACCGATTATAGCTCGGTGGTGGTGAAAATACTATAATACTTTATATATTAAACTCTCTGCTATCCTGGCTGAAAGAAGACAAAACTTAACTGAATATAAAGTCACGATAAGGGAGAATACTGTAGCTTATGAGACTAGAATAATGTACATATATTCAGGAATAAGAACTTCTCTTTATGCCTCATTATCAAATGCATGTAGTTACGAGATCATGCCAAAATGAAGGAAAGCTTTATCCTTAACATACCTTAACTCCGTTGATTCCTTAATACCTTCCAAGAAATTCTTCAAACAACTCAACTCAATCTACCAAAGTATAAGGATATTCAAAATCAGTGCTGAGTAGAGGCTAACTCCACAACCTAAACTAGTAGCTTGTTTACGTAATTTGGGAAGCATCTCCCCTATAAAAAGGCCCTCGTGCAATACTAAATACCAAAAACAACAATAAAACAACAGGAACAACATATATTCATCATTTTCCAACCTTATCGCCATCATAATATACCACAAAACAGCCCAGACACCCTAATCAATTCACACATAAAACGATAGCCAAAGTAGTGTCAAACAACCTAAAAAATGTAATGACGAATGATCAGCCCACCATTATATCATTATGTGGTGTTTATCCAAACCTTTTCTACTCAAAAAATTCATAAAACATCAGCACAAGAGGCCAACATGAGTAGACTACAAAACAGTCCACTAAATGTGCAATAAATAGACCTCACGGCTTCTGATCACCGTATCGTGAGTTCTAATTATTACGAAACAAATTTATGAACCTTTATTGACATTTAAAAGATTAAATACATAAAGTAGGCATTTTCTTAACTATGAAGTACGTTCCAAAACTCAAACTACAAAGAAACAAAGAGGCGATATAGCGATACTTACGTCGTAGGGATTGTTCTACTGTTATCACTTCTTGATTTCATACCCATGATGTTAATCTTCTTTGGAACCCTTGTAGAGAGCTTAAGGTTAAGTTTTTGGGGGTTCTCTGGTCGTGTTCTATGAAAAATTAAGAGAAATACGATTTAAAACCCTATATATATATACTTACTTTTGAAAAGTCAATGAGGTGCTAGCTTGGCACCCTAGCATTGGCCCTTCTTCCGATGCTTATATCTTTTTTTCCAGATGTTGTATGAATGAACGTTAAGAGTATTAGAAACTAAATTCCAATACCTTTAATTTGATATATAATATATCCCAAAAAGACCTCATATAACACATGAAATCTAATACTCAAAAAGCTTCAGTGACATACCTACGTGTCACCTATGTGGTCTGTGCAGTCTCGTGAAATTGCACATATCTCTCTACTTCGATGTCGTATTGATAAACAGTTTAATGTGTTAGAAACTAGACTCATAAATCATCTATTTGATATATGGATCATCCCGTAGTTCCAAGTACATTGGGAGAAATGCTCCTTATCATTTTGAGCACCCTAGTCTCACCCCAATAGTACATGTTATAATATTCTCAACTTGTCAACTTTTGATGAAACTTATTTTTTTTAATTGGTTTAGCTCCTAAGCCTTCCAAACCTCTTAGTACTTGCAGTCAATGATCTTAAATATTTGTAACCTCCAAGTTAACATGATTAACCTATTTATGTACTTTCAAAGATGATCTCTAGTTACCGTTAAAATGGTTATAACAATTAAATTTGTTGATGGGACTCTAAAAATACGTGATCTATTTTTATGCTAGTTTTTTAAGAAGTTGATGCTAGATATGTGAGACTTAGAGGCAAAATAAAGTTAAGGAGAGAGCTGTAATCAAACCGATAGGTCAGTTGTTCGGGGCCTCGGGATTGTCAATTCTGGGCTTCGAGGTCGATCCCGGAGCTCGATTATGAGCTATCGAAGGCAGTTGCTATATGACTAACAGTTATAATAAAATCAATGGAGGCTCTTTATGGCTAGTGATAAGCAATAAATGAAGAACAAGTAAGAAGACAATAAATGGAGGCAATAATATTGAGAGAATATGCTAGAGAGCAAAGAGAAAGTTCTTGTATATTTCGTGTTGAGTAGCTGAAGCAATAGAGAGTTTACAAAATGTCAAGGACCCCCTTTATATAGGAGGGGAATTCCAACATAGTACAAAAGCATTAATTACAAAAATAGGGGAATGGGACAACTAGATGGCACCAGGCTCTGCCAGTACTAGCTGCATGCCTAGGGAACTCCCCATTCCCATCATGACTGCGGCCAACATTGTCGTTAGGTCGGGCGCCAACGAACCTCGAGGGAGGGAGCTTGACCACAGACTCGCAGCCTCGAGGTCTCGAGATGATTTCCTGAAATGCCTTAATTACGAGAAATTGGACCCTCCAATTTCGTCGTATACAGATAGTCTCCGCGTTTCCTAGAACGAAGTAATATGAAACGATTTTGAGCCTCCGTTCTGAGGACATAACCACCATGACATCAACCTATTAGAGCATTAAATGCCATGCCCCAAAAAATCGTGCAAGGGTCGCCGTCAAATGCAACTATCGAGAAACTCACGAACCGCTATTGGTCGTCCCTTCCGCTGCCCATATGGTTCCTATAAATATATCAACCTTTTGATAATCCTTATTTTCCCAACATATTCAAATTCGCGAATCCAGACCCATCTCTTTTTACATTCTTCCTTCTTACTTTCTTAGAGAAAATTTTACCATCGCAATGGCCAGAACTTCTAGGACGGTTCCTCGTCGAAATGAAGTCGCCTATTCATCTAGGCCGTCTAAGGAGAAAACAAAAGTGATACCCACCCTGGGACAATGTACTCCCCCCGATATTGACATGTCGAAAGATTATACAATCGGAAAACCCCCTGCTACACCGGGCCGATGCGAACACGTGTCGCGGTACGTCAGTGTCGTGACCGATGTAGGTACGGTAAAAAGGGACTACCGATGGAGGAAGGCAGTGGAGGTGGAGATTCCCAGCCCTGATGAGAATATAACGGACTACAAAGCTGGTTTCCTCCACGTATATCCTTATCCCTTTACTTTGGGTCCTGGCGATCCTTCTGGATCCCCTCCTCCGGAGATAGATTCGGTCATCCTTGACTTTTGTGATAAGCATCAGGTGACGCTCGGTCAAATCTATCCCTCTTTTTGGAGGATAGTCTGGATGCTCCGTTATTTTATTGACAAGGTTAGGGACGAGACCTTTACCCTGAATCACTTGATCAAGATGTACATCCCTCGATTCTATCGAGGCTTGATTAGGCTTCATCATCAATCCAAGAAATCATTTTTCTCGAGCACCGACGAGGAAAAAGATCGGGGATGGATGAGTAGGTTCGTCCGAGTTAAAACCCTGGACATCATTCCAACCGGGAGGATGCCTTTCCCGAAGAGGTGGAACATGCAACGTAATCATTGTTTCCCTCGGACATATTTTTTGACCCTCTTTCCTTTCTTCCAAAAAAGATGACCTCCTTTTGTTTTCTGCAGTTGCCGCTTGGTATCCTGAAGCGGTCTTGGATCTACCGGGGTGGATTGGGCGGTTGGACAACAAGTTTCCGTATCTTGCCTGATTTGGACCGACTTGGCCAAGACGTAGTGGGTGGACAAGAGCCATGGTAAAGTTTCTCTTGTCGCCTACGTCTTAACCCGACGTTTTTTCCTGTACCTTCTTGTGCTGATAAGTTGTGGCCTCTATGCTTGCGCAGGCCTTGGCAAGAATGTGATGATGAGACCACCCCCTGGAGGAGGGATGGAGGTTTCGGAGCCTATCAAGGGTAATAAAAGGAAAGGCAAGGAGGCTGTCGACCCTTATGTGATGAAGAAACCTAAGCCACACAGTCCTAGAACCGCCATTGGGACCTCAGCTTCTGCTTCCAAGGCAAGCCTCAGTGCTGGGGACAAAAATGATGATGAGAGTGGATACCGTTTAGAGGAGAGGCTGAGGCCGGATGCGGGAGTCCCGCAGATACTCCGACCGGAAGCTGCTGAATCGGGGACATCTGATTCAGGTCGGTCCCGTGCGGCGGAGACCCTCGAGGAGGATGCTAACATGGTTCCCGATCCTACGGTCGGATGTGGTGCCGTTTTTTATAGGGGGACCGTTGTTGCCGGTCCCAAAGGATCTGAGCTCGGAGCTTTTCAGGAGCAAGAATTGCCTCTCGTGGACATTGGTGACATAAGTGATTTCATTTTCGGCTCTCATTTCTCATCAGGGGAGCTAAGGGATGCTCAAGATGTGAACACCACCAAAGCCGAGGGTCCTCTCAAGGGGGAGGCACGCTTGGCAATATTTTTGATGATGTTAGGGGGAACATCGATCTTGACGATCCCGGCTCTGTCAAGGAGGACGAGAGGTTCATGCAGCAGGTGATAGCTGCTTTAAGTATATTTCTTTTATCCTCGAGCATCTTTCCTCATTCTTCTAACTCTTCTGTTTTGCTGTAGTGCAAGGAGATGTATGATCATGCCCACTTTAGGCTTAACGAGGAGCTTTCGTGCTATGAGAAGGATCTTGAGAAGCTATCCTCGAGACTGCAAGAGTCGGAGGCTCGTTCTGCCCGGAAGGAGAAAGAGTCAGGTGAGCTCCGGGCTACTTTGGAGGGAGCACTTCGAGAAAACGCTCCCTTACCGAGTAGGTATTTTGTTAAGCATGAGACTTTCTTTCGCTCCCATAATTTGACACTGAATTATTCACTTTTCCTTTTGTAGGTCGAGCAAAATGACTCGCATATTGGGCGACTGAATGTGGAGATCCTCGAGATGAGAAAACTAAATGAGGTAGTGACCTCAGGGTTGGTGTCAACCCATGGTCTTCGCAAGGATGCTCGAAAAGAGATTGCTGTGCTGGTTGCGGCCAAGTCCTAGATCAAAGGAAATGTTGCTACTTACCTGAAGGACGCAACCACGGGAAATCATATAGCCCGTGATGTATCGATAAAGGATGAGCAGAAACTGGATCGTGCTATCGAACATGCTAGGGCAGAGGTGAGGAGGAAGACCTTGGAGGAAATCGAGGCCGGAGGTGTCGATCTGTCAGTTGGAATCGAGGAGGCCCGGGAGCTGGAGAGGAAGTTGGCGCTTTTGATCGTCCCAGACGAGGATCCAGGAGATGGTTCGGAGGATAGTGGCGATGAAGTGTAGGCCTTGTGTTGCCTCCCCCCTTTTTTTTCTTTCTTTGTATTTTTGGCAATGGAAAAAGGGTTTTTCTTTTTTCTATCTTTTCATTATTTCTACCTCACTGCTTGTGCAGAGTTAGCCTTCAACTTTTGGCGTTAGCTCTTCGAAAACCGTATTCGGGGCGAT